GCCGCTCGTCAGATATTGAAGCACGCAATTCAGCTTTTCTTTTTCTTTTACACGTCAGTTTTTTGCTTTAAAGCTTCGTCGGCGGCATATCGATACTTTCTGCTCGTAGCGCGATCGCACCAATGCCGAAAAATTCTGCACGTACACGCTAAACGTCATCATCGTAAGCTCGGCAAGTCTTTTCCAAGTTCACATGTAACGCAACTGGGTACCTTTGTAGAACTTATGGTGCATGTTAGCGCATGTTCGGGCCGTTAGCGGCATCCTACGCCTTGGTAAGCGCATCCCCGCGGTTTGAAGTCAACCACCAGCATGGTGCGGGGCCACGTTCTACCGTAGCGTGACGTCACTTGCAAGGCATGTATAGGCGAGGCGCTCTGACCCGTTTGTTTCCCCCACACCTCGGTGTTTACCCAACACAAGGCCTGTGCACATGCCACAGGCTTTGTGAGAATGTTCATGTTAGCTCTTCTAATAAAGCGCGGGGCACAGTGTGATGTAAAAATACTAATAATAAACGAAGTGATGTTAAGTGCCGGATATCTTCCGAAAGCAACAGTAGGAGGATGCGAGCTTGAGGGCTTTTGAGCTGAGCTGGGCACCGTGCATGCTGCATTGTTCATGCAGGCTGGAGTGGTAACAAAAGAGAAGCTCCTCCCCCTCACCGGAGAACTCGAACTCCACCCGATCGCTGACGCCGCGTTCAGTTATGTCAGCCGAGTGCTGAGTCATTGTATCCGTTGCCCCCATCCGTGTAGTTTTAGAGTTAACCGCTCGGGGCGCCACGGTCCGATCTCCTCCCCAGTAGCTAAAGCGACCTCTTCCTTGTTGTCCCAGAAATGCTTTTCAACTTGTATCAGTGATATTAGGGAATTGTAGTAGACCGTTTTTCTCCTCCGTTACGGTATCCTCGAAGAAAACACCGCAGCTGCGCATGCGCGCAGCCAGCCTTGTCTGCATAGTTCATGGTCTTGTGGCGAATTACGGAGAGCTATCCGGGTGCTTAGCAAGCTGCCCGAAAAAAAAAAAAAAAAAAATTTAAAAATGAAAAAAAAAAAAGCCCGCGGCCGGATGGTTGTTGCGCTTGGCTCTCGCACGGAGGCTCCGGTTTCGATTCCAGGGAGCGGACTCCTCCTTTATTTATTCTTTCAACTTGACATTCTCGTAAATTCGAGAACCTTGTCCATTGATCGAAATGCGAATGTTCTACGCGCCGAACGTTCTACGCCGGATGTTCCAGAAACCCACGCGAGTACAAAAAGTGCTCCGATCAGTCTTGCCCCAGGGCTCGATCCTGCTGTTTCGCCGACATCTACGCCTGCAACGCTATAGGCTTTCTCTATTGTTGTGGGCACAAGCTCGCCCTATTAAACGTTTAGTTACTTCAGTTATTCGCCGCCTCATCATATGTCATTCGTGACAATATCCTGGTCCTTATAGTTGGACTGCATAAAATAGCTCTACGATACTTTTCTTTTTGTTTTATGTTGTTGCGTGCTACTAAATCAATGTGGTAAACCACATTTGCGCAGCTGTATACTCGTCGTTGTTACTGACGTCGATACAGATTACGCTATGCGGAAGTATCTTTAAAAGTAATTGAATTACATTTCTAAGTACTTGTACTCTACTCAAGATACTTTACAGTGAAAGTAACTTGAGCAGTATTTTAAGTACTTTACGAAGCAAGTATTTAGTAACTTCACTTAAATACTTTTATCGAGTATTTTGTCCAACACTGAAAAAAAACACAGCTTCGCCACGATCCTCATTCAAGTGGAAACGGGTCATGGCGAAGATGGAACCCAAGAATGCTCTTACGTGCACCTTGGAATCGCAAGAGATGGCACCAATCATCGATAAAATTGTTCCTGTTTTTTTTTTTTTTTTCTCGCTTATTCGCGGTGAGCAGCTCGCTGGGGACGCTTCTGCTTTCCTTACAAAGGGCAGGGACCGTGTACCCACGCGGTCATGTTTTAATTTTTATAATGCTTAGAAGCTTGGCATTGCACGTCTTTGCACCAGAAGAGGAAGTTCAAGTATCCTCACTCTGAGTTGTGAAAAAACTCCACCAGGCGACGATAACCAAACTTGTCGTCGCGAATACTGCTATTTACCAGGTGCTTTGGACATGCCATGAATAACGCCTAAACTGCTCCAAAAAAAGAATATAGCAGAATTTTTTTTTAAGACAAGCTCTTAAATTTTAAAGTATATCGAAATCAATGAACAAAATTGCTGCAAAAATCTAAGGCAGTTGATCATACCAATTTTTCTTAGGCGCAATCCAGACGACCGGACGTTACCTGGAGAAACTTAAGATTTGTCTTAAAATGCCGGTTAAACTCGGCAGCCTGTAGAACGCATTGATCACGAGGGAATGTCAATGGCTGGGTGCAGGCACGTAGCCAGGATTTTGATATGTCCGGCGTCGGGTGCTTGTGCTCACGAGCACGGAAGCACGTGAAAAAAAAAAACCAAAAAAAACCTATTACATTTCCACGTGGTGAATGATATTGATTGGGGCGAAGCTCTGGTGGTCCTTGTTTGCGTAGACGGCGAGCCGCAGCATGCCGAGCCTTTCGTTCGTTTTCATCCATTTCAGAAAGAAAATGTGTGGTATGGAAGGTGGTTATATACGCATTTGAGCATTTGACCGCAGCGTGACATGGATGAAAACGAACGAAACGCTCGGCATGCTGCAGCTCAGCGTCTACGCAGACAAACACCACCAGAGCTTCACCCCAATCAACATCATTCACCACGTGGTTTTTTTTTTCAACTGTCACAAACTTTGAGGTATTTGTTTTATTTTCATGCAAATGAGAAACAGTAGCAGTTGTGACTGTGGTTATTTGCAAATTTGACCAATTAAGTACATTTTTGACTTGACTTGAATCTCTCTTTAACAGGCGTGTTTCCTGAAAAGTTTCAGGAAGCGACAGTGATAAATTTGCGCAACAGAGGAGATCAAGATATCCACAGGAACTATCGACCTCTCTTTATAATCCCGTTATTCTGCAAAGGCTTGAAAAAAATTATACTGGCTCGTTTAATTCAGTTTTCTGATAAACACAACTTGCTGACATCCGCACAGTTTGGTTTTAGAAAATGCCGGTCGACTGAGTTAGCACTATTAAAACAAAAATAATGCATCGTAAAAAAAAAAAAATTAGGGAAAAAAGTTGATTTGGAGGTGCATTTGTTGATTTCACAAAAATCTTTTGATTTTATCAATCGTAACATTTTACTTCAAAAACTAGAACTTCATGGTATCCGTGGGTTACCTTCAGAGGTTCTAAAACCATACTTGCGATATCGTAGCCAATATGTTTCTATTGGCCAGTATTTTTCTAGCGCCAAGTCTATTCGCCCCGGTGATCCTCAGGGGAGTGTTCTTGGTCTCTATATTTTTAATATGTACAGAAATGATATTGTAAACATAGGCACTGCAAAATTTTCTTACCTACGCTGATGAGAGTATCTTATATTGTTTTCGTCTAAAATAGTGATGATCCTGTCAGAATTGCCAACGGTCTTTTGACCAAACTAGGAACGTTGGCAAGAGACAATGTCTTAAAAAATTCATACTTATAAAGATTAAACCTACTAGTTTTTGTCCAAAAAACAGGTGTGTAACTTTAAGCAAAAAGGTATCGTGCTTGGCTCTACCCCAATTGAAATCGTTAGTAATTTTAAGAGCCTTGGAGTAATTTCTTCCGAACAAGCAAGTTTGGAAAAACATACTTATAAAATTGTTAAGTGTTATAGGAGTGACATTTCGTAACGGTAAAATACTCCCAGTCAGTGTGAAGCTACTAATTTACAATTCTTTGTTTTTTCTCACCTTAATTACTGAAACATCGTCTGGGGTAAAACAACGTTTACGAACTTGCAAAAAATATTTTGGTTGCAGAGAAAAATGATAGGCATAATATCCAATATCATGAGTATGATTTTTGTACAGACAGTCTATTTGAGAAATTTAAAGTGCTACCAATGCATAGCCTCTACGAATACAGATTGTGCCTGAGTTTGAAAATCGAAATAGGAAAACACTATAAATCACTTTCAAACTTTGCAGACTAAACACATGGCTTATTGGATGCTTATACCTTGTCGTACGAAATATGGTACTCAAATGCTACATTATACTATACCTAAACTGTTAATATTTCTTATATTGAAAGAACTTTGCATAGACACTATCTCCTACGAGGCCCTGCGTTCGCTTTTTTCTGTACTAGCGACTTCGGCCACTCCTTTTTAACTTTTTGTGTACGCTCTGTGTATGCCAGTGCCGTCCGCTAGATGGTGCGTATTCGTCCCGTTTTTTTTTTTTTTCTGGTTTCTTGTTTGAAATAACAGTGTACGTGTTTTGATATTGTTACAGAGTAACAATATTCTTTGTCTTTTCGCTGCTAAGCCAGTGCATGATGCTAAGGGTTAGTCAAGCCTCTATTGAGGCTTTTACCCTCTGCTCCGCCATTCAACATGGAAATAAATTTAATTATTAAATAGATACGCAATATCGAATGACCACGGTCACTGACACGATGAGATCGGCGCAAACATCTTTCATTGGTCACGCCTCCAGCCCGAGCTTCCGGCCTTCAATAACACTTGAGCGTCTCGTGGGCTTCGAGCGTGCATGCCCAATCAACGCACGAAGGAAGGCGACGAGCGCATGCCGGAGCAATACCACCGAGAAGTCGCAAGGCCTGTGCATGACGCCGTCGTTAGTGGATCCCAGGCCCGCACCCAAGCGGCAAAAACGCTGAAGCTCAAACGAGCGACGCCGCAAAGCGGCAGATACGTCTGTCCTGCAGCGTCGCCGCGTGGTAGCGTTTATGTCATTGTAAGACCCTGAGGGACGCGCGGGCAGCGACGCTGATGCGAACCTCCGCTCCGGCGATCTCACCCTGACAGTGACCGGACTAACTCGTGCTCCAAGATTTTGGATGATAATTTGATCGGAATTTAGACGTTCTATACCGTATTTAGCCGGTACCGAAAGAGAACAGACTGATCCTCACCTGCGGCGTGCTGCAGGCCAAGCTGGTGCACCAGGCGACAGCTAACATCTTCTTGCCCCTCTGCTGGGCAGCGTGAACTTTGAGCGGATGCAGCACCGCAAAGTACCTATCTACGCTGATGCAGACGAGCACCATCGAAGACAGATAGGGTCCAAAGGCCCGGAGCACCTGCATCACCTTGCACATGGCGTTCCCAGCCGTCCACTGGACCGTGAGCCTCCAGCCGATCTCCATGGGTATCATGACGAAGGTAACGATGAGGTCGGCCACGGCCAGGTGCAGAATCATCAACTTGATGCCGGACTTTCGGTGTCTCTTGCCCAAGAGGCTGACGAACACGGAGACGTTGCCGGCTGCCGCTGCGACGAAGAGCACTGAGTAGACGATGACTTGGACGAGGGACTGCGTGTTGAAGGTTAGCTCCTCGTCCAGGGACGGGTCTTCCAGAGATCCGTTTTGTAAGCTGGGGAGCTGCACGGAATCCATCTTTCCTCCTAAAGAACCCGATGGCAGGTTTCATAAACTACTTGATAGACAACAGAATGGTCAGTTGTCCGTCAGCAAGACTCGCGTTCAGAAACACAAATCCCACCCGGTCATCCGATCGTTGAAACTGCTTCTCGTATCCATGTTCGCTCTTATTTAGAGTTCGGGTATCTGATGGCTACTAAACATCCTTGTCGAACAGTCATGTACTTTGAAGTTGTCAAAGCAAATCTAGATCTCTAACTTCTGCTATCCTAGTTGATACACACTCAAGGCTAAAACTGACATCAAAAGTACTTTATCAGAAACAAAAATTATAAAAAAGGGCTGACGCCGTCAAATGCAGGAGCCTTCTTGAGAACTTTGGAAAAAGTTTGAGCCGCCGCGAACATATCCTGGATCGCAACTGAGCGTTAGGAATCCCGAGCGCGAAAACGGGACCCAGCGGCGATCGATTCGGGCCTGCGCAGTTGAACCGACCAATGGCTGCTGGTGGCGCGCTTTGGAAGGCTGTGACGTCACATTTAAAGCTCGAAGGCAGACATGCCGGAAGTCTGGTTGTGGTGAATAAACTTTGTAAACGTTACAAACAAACCTTCTAATCCGCGGAAATTGGTTGGTAAAGTAGGAAGTATGTATGGAAGCTGATTGGAAAAACGGCGCTTGTCCATGTCCCTTTCTTTGCGTTCATCTTTATTTTGCGAAGGCACGTTTCAGCAGCCATCATTCTCTACTTAGCCTGACAACGATCCTTGTTAACTATGTTCTATATCCCGAGATGAGAAAAATGATGTAAAGTGTTGTTCGTTATCTTATTTATATTAGGTCTAGACTATAAAATTAGTGGCGTGCTCTTTTTGAGATTTAAAGGAACCGGCGGTAAAGAAAAAACTTAGGGCTGGGCAATTGATCGATTAACCTCCGATTAATCGATTAAAGCTCTAATCGCGATCATTTTTTTAACCGGTTAATCGTTTTTTTTTTTAATCGGTAGTCAAAAAGAAGTCAACTGGACGCACGCATGGCTCTGTCCTGGACGACCTGCCCGAACTAAGGGTAACTCATGCCTCCCCCGCCTCCCCTTAAGGAAAACGCAGCGTGGCGTGCATCCGGTCGTTCTGTCCTGAGCGGTTTTCTGTTCTCAGCCAGGTGCTAGGAGTATGAGCAAGGTTCAGTTCTCGCGCTCGCGAAGCGTCATGTGTTCGAGGATACACATTACAGTTCTACCGAGGCCAGGCGAACAAGCCGGGCCCGCAATTGATCCCTTTACGACCGCGAAACTTCACGTGTTGAGGATCTATTACACATCCTGCCCAGGCAAGACAAACGAGCTGGCAAGCTGGGGAGCTAACAACTCCATGGTTACTTGTTCCAGTATTCGGCCCGTACAAATGGACGAGTTCACGAGTATGAAAGGCAATCTCGCTGGAAAGTTGGGGTTAAATGTAAACTCCAGCGGTGAAGTTTTTAACTCGAAGGAAGTCACTGCATCATCTGCAAAAAGCCGTTTTCATACAGTGGAAGCGTACGTTCGCTTCAGTATCACCTACGAGCGAAGCACCCATGTACTCCGCTGCAGCAAGGACCATCCGTCAAAACGCAGACAACAATCAGCGCCCTCTCATCGAGGCCCCTTTCTCTGAAAAAAGAAGAAAGCATCGCCCAAGCCCCGACTTTTTGTCTTCCTGTCGGAGAGTGTGGACAAACTGCTTTGTCTTCGGAGCTGGAGCAAAAATATGGGAGCCTTTGTTGCACTACATGTATCCTCAATTCTAAATGTCCTTTGCGCCGTGTAACAGAGAGTAAAATAGGTCTTCAAAGGCAAGGCGAGTTGTTGCATTCTTTTTAATATATTATTTATGAAAATCAGCGCACCTGATTAATCGATTAAAGGGTGACGATTTATCGGGTTAAAATTTTTAATCGACGCCCAGCCCTAGAAAAAACTATATCTTTTATGTGTGCTACAGTTTTTTGATGGCTGGGGGGAGGGGGGGGGGGGGGGGGGGGGGCTCCGGCTCCATATCGCCTATTCGTTTCCAAACCGTGCACCTGTGGTGGAATATCTCAAAGAATAATAGAGAGTAAAACATTTTCTCTTGATGCTATAAAGAAGCACGAGGCAAGTCTTATTAGAAATTTAGTTGACGGGAGGATGAGTTCACACTGAATGAAGCTGAAATAAAGAGAGAAAAAAAAGAGTCCGTTTTAGCTTAGGAAATTTTGACCTGTTTCGTCCAGTCCATCTCCACACCAAGCATAAATTTCGCGAACCGGAAAAAAGAAAAATACTTTTAAAGTACTTTTACTAAAGTACGTCACTAAAAAAACGAACAAAAACATTTTACATTTAGCATTCGCGTATTTGCGCCAGATTATTATTTTATATTTTTTTGCATGAAACGGTGCTGGGTGGCCTTTTCTACGCCGCAATTCCCATCTTGAATGTATCTGTATCTGTGAAAACATCTTTTTGCTCTCACCGAGCCATTGGAAGTTTACGTTTCTAAGCGGTAAATATCACTTTTTGCTTGTTTGATCTGGCCTATAAATATTTACTTTTTTTTATTGAAGTGCTGCGCTCTTTTTTCCTCACCCATGCCCCACACCTGACCCACGTGGCAGGGGACGAAAGCAAACAAAAAATTCATTGGCATCAGCGAACTTTTGAATGATCAATACGCCGTTCCAATCTTTACAGGTCCAGAGCCTTTACAGGTCTTTACAGGTCCAGAGCGCACTTTTCAGCTTCCTTGGGGTTTCTTTTCATGAGCTGTTCACAAAAAGGACGCACTGAACTTAATAGGTCGCCTTAGTAAACATAAAGATAACATAAAGATGAAGAAAAAATCAAAACAAACAAAAAACTGCGAGAGAAAAATAGTAAATTAAAAGGAGCTCGCAAAGAGAGCGCTGTATTTGTATTAGGGGCAGTAGTTCAGACCGGTTTTCTATATAACCGGTCATTCGATTATTCCCATTAGCGAATTATTCGAATTCAAAAACCGGATAGGCGGATATTTGAAAAGCTGGCAACGTTACTCGGCTATTCAGTTCATGAAATATCCGGATGCTCGAATATGTCGTATTCATTGTACCGCGTATCGGAATCGAGATTGTTCGGCTCAAATGCGTGCCTTTCGGCCTGCGGTTTACCCCTACGTTGCCTGCACGTTTTGAAAGTTAAAGTGGATCCTTAGACGTCATACATTCATCCATGCAACCATCGCGCGCCTAGCGACTGAGTTGAGAACTACTCCCCACCCGGACAACATAAGGAGGTAGCAGGCACTGTGACGTAGTGTGTGTATGGAGCAGTTCCTCCTCCGGCTTGGCTACGTCCCCACACGGTGATCTAGACACTCACGTTAAATTTTCGGCGCACCAATGTTGCCTTCGCTCTCGATTCCTTTCAAACTGAAGTCGACGAGAAAAACAAAACAAAAAAACAATCTGGCCACGTCGTAGTTTAATATGGCGCCTGCTGCCTTCCACCGTGGAACATGCGCAAGGCACGGTTTATACGCGTTCACGTTTCTTGCGCTCTGATTGGTTCGTCGGCTCTCTCATCGCCTAATGCCGCAATCCCATTGGTTTAGCGGCGATAATGAGATGCACTGGATTCCCCACGCCCCGTGTTTCATAGCCCGCAATGGAATATAGCTGTTTTGGGTTATTTTCGATAGCCCAGACCTGGCCAGAGTGGAATTTTAATATGGCGCCCGTTTGTAAGCCATATTAGTAAAATTTCGGGAGATGTTCTGACACCTTAACACCCCCCTCTGGTACGCGCCTGCCGGGGGGCATAGATTTCAAGCGAGTGCCACGTCGGTGTTCGTCCAACGCTCACGAGGCGTTCAGCGTCGCATTGGAAACGCCATCGAATACTTTGTGCTGTCCCGGTGGGAGTAATTCTCAAATTAGCCGTTAGGGGTGCGATGGTTGGATGAATGAATGTATTACCTCTGAAGATCCGCATTAATTTCTAAAAGCGTGCAGGCGACGTTGGTAAAACCGCGGGTTGAAAGGCCTTTATTTCGGCCGAACAATCTCGATTCCGGTACGTGGTATAATGTATTCGATATAGTATTCGAGTATCCGGATATCTATATAACCGAATAGCCGAGTAACTTTGCCGGTTATTCAAATATCCGGTTATTCGATTTTCGAATTAGAAGAGTTCGCTAGTACGAATAATCGGATAACCGGTTATCTAAAAAACTGGTCCTAACTGTCGCCTCTAATACAAACGCAACGCTGTTTTTGTGTGCTTCTTTTAATCCTCCATTTTTTTTCGAGGTGTTCTTTTTTACTCAAACACTTTTGTTTTTTTCAATGTTTACTAAGGCGACCTTGTTAAATTCAGTCTGTTTCTTTTATAGACAGCTCATGAAAAGAAATTTCACGGAAACTAAAGAGTGTGCTGCAGGGCTGTGGACCTGTAAACATTGGAACGGCGTATTGATCATTGCAAAGTTTGCTGATTCGTACGCCTTTTTTGTCTGTTTTCGTCCCCAGCCACGTGGATCAGGTGTAGTGTATGGGCGATGAAAAAAGGGCGCACCACTTCAATGTAAAAAAAAAGAAAAAATATAAAGGCGACATAAAACAAGAATGATGTGATATTTACGTTTAGAAAAGTAAACATCTTTCAATGGCTTGGTGAAAGCAAAACTATGTTTTCGCTGGTACAGGATGTTCCGCCATTCAAGATGGTAATAGCGGCGTAAAAAATGCCACTCTGCACGTTTCATGGAGAAAAAAAAATAATCTCGCGCAAATACGCAAATGCTAAATGCGAGAAGGGTCTCTTTATTTTTTATTTTTTTTTAGCTACGTTTAAACTTCGAATGTATTGATTTTTTTTTTCTTTTTACGCAATGCGAAAACTTGTTCGGCGTGGGAATCGACTGGGCAGGTCGAATGTTCCTGTGGGAGAACGACATGAAGCGGAACCCTCGCGCACTGTCAAAAGAAGATAATTTGTGTCTTTTTGACAT